ATTTATTCACATCATCATGCAATAACGTGAATGAAATATTTTTTTATAGGCTAGTTAGTAGGATTAAGATTAGAAAATCGATTCTTGATAGCATTCTTAAAGCGCAAGACGAAAGCGAACACGTCTGCATGCGCGCTGTTTTCTGAGCTGCGCACTCACGCAAACAGCGCAAAGAGCCGCCTCTCACATAGTGCACGGACAAATACACAGAATTATATCTCACAATTATACTTCTAGTTAATTTATAGCATCAAATAAACATGAATAAACATCAGAAGAATTATTGTTTCAACCGTGGAAAGACTTCAGTAGGTGCACACCTCTTTTCAAGTTCAAATATCCCCGTAAACACAGCCGGTTTTGTCTTAACGGTTGAGAAAGTAAAACAGTAGGCCTATGTCCATTGAATCAGTCCAAAGACAGCCTATACTCGCTGCCACCAAAGAACAAAATCAAAGAACAAAAGAAAAAGAAAATCACTCACTGAACTTTTGTAACTTTAATTAGCTTAATATTTTATTTGCCTGTTGTTCGGCGCTGACTGCTCCAACTGCAACATGAGTCTGTGCGACCTTGAGATGCGTTCCCTGTCAAACATCATTTGTCCTTACTTTCGTAATTTTGTTAAACATTTTTCTTCATATAATCAAGTAGCCTAGGCCTATTTTATTTTAGTTTGCAGGCTGATAAAAGTTCATCAGAAAAACAAATGGTAGAAGTAGGCTAACTTTACCCGTTTCTGAATATTAATTTAAATGTTGCACATAATAAATAGGCCTAATCAAAAAGCACAAACGTGACCATTGTAATTAAAATAAAAATTTCGTTACATCGCAAACGGATGAAGAAATTGCGTTTGAATAGGCTCTCTCATGCACGCGTTTGGAGCGATGTTGGCAGCTCCGTTAGGTTATATTGGGAGCGTTATAGGCCTACTTTGCTTTAGATTAAATAAATGAATAAATAAACAAAACAAACAAAAAAAATCCCCAAATATAATTTAATGACTTCTGTTTCTAAATAAATAAAGCAGTCATTTTTATTTCTTAAACAGCTTAAGGTGAACTTGGAACTAAAACCAAAAAGGAGGGAAAAAACAAAACGTTTTTGCTCATTCAGAACGACAATTCATTTTTAATTCCGAATTTTAGACAAATAACAAATATATTATAGTTTGAAAATACAAGTTTAAAAACAGCGCTACACATTATTAGGAAATTAAACTTATTATTAAATCAGGCGATACCGCCAAAAAAAGGAGAAAATCGGACCTTATGAAAAACAAATAGACAAGACAAGAAACCTAGCTATAACATCAACATGCATTCACCATTTTTACAATCACCCAAAAATTGTGTTCTGTTCTGTTCAGTTGTAGGCCCATTTAACATTTCTCCTCGCGAAACGAAATTCGTTTCAAACATAGATGCAATAAGAACAGTGAGGAAATTATTAGCAACACTAACATAACAAGCAAAGCTAATGTTTTATGCTCGTTTAAGCTCAAACTAACCAAAGTAAAACCTTTAATGTTTCAATCATTAAATTAAACCAACTAAATCGCAGGCTATCATTAGATAAAGTGCAGCCAAACTCAACATGACTTGTGTTAACGTGTATTCCGTATGTGTTGTCTCCAGCGGGGCGCATAGGGGGCGGGGCTTGGGTAGACGATATAATCGGATATCGCGATATTTTTTAAGGCGATAATCGATAAAATATTTTTTACATATCGCCCAGCCCTAATGCCAAATGATTTTGTCTCATTATGTCAGCGGAAAATACTATTTTTATTTGTGAACACTACACTCACAATAAAATAAAAAATAAAGAAAACAAAGGATGCTGCTCTCTGCAATCACGGTTTTCTTCGCGTGAAGTTAGTGGAGCGCGTCACGAAAATTTATCGAAACTCAAAGTAGCCTATAGGCAAATAGCAAGCTCTTGCGTGCCAGGAAAATGACTCTGTGCTTTATCCAGAATTTTAACCACTTCATATTTGATGTGTCAATTAACTTTCAAATGGTAATTTGCTCTATTATCATCGCTACCGTAGACATACATAAGTGTTTAGATCCAAGCTATAAACTTCGATCCAAGTACTATAATTTGAACATTTGTAACACGGAAATAATGATACTGTTATTGAAAAGACTGTTTGTGACGCTGTTTCATACCTATACACGACAACTGCTCTCTCTGGTTCAGCGACAGAGTAAACGCAGATTTTAATGTTCGCTGTAATCGGACTTGTCAAAGGTTTAATAGACAGCCGTAAATATATACTGAGGAGAATACTAAACCATAATGAGCGTTTAATATAGGCATAGCATAGCCTATTCCACGCTATTCCGCCGTTAACGTTCTGTCCCTCACGGACTGCCTGACTTCGCAACAAGGTATTTTTTTCTTTCTTTTTTCTGCGACTAACCGACTAATACAATTTTGGTCGACTAAGCCTTTTCTAGTCGACTAAAATTTAGTAGACTATTTGGGGGCAGCCCTAATTATTACAGAATAAAAGTATTAATTTCTTTGAAAAAAATATCTTACTGACCCCAACCTTTTAACTGGTAGTGTATAAGAGAAGTCATCCTGCATACTGCTATAGCTTATAAAATCCAAAAATGTCCACTTATAAAGCCAAAGACAGTAAATACAAAATTGAAAAGTTCTTATAGAATAGAAATAATCTGTTCAATTTCACATCAGTGAGTTATATATTTGAACTGAAAAAAAAAAAAAGTTATATATATATATATATATATATATATATATATATAAAAGATTAACCAGCCACAGAAAAAAATTAATTGGTTACAATCCAACTCTACAGTAACTGCATGTGGTAAAATTAATCTCAAACTGCATATCTGTCTCCCCTAATACTGCTGGTATATTTTTTGACCTTGATGAATTATCTATTCTTATTGACAGCACTTATTGATCTTTCTTAAAAGTGTTGGCTAATGGAGTTCTATTGAGATGACTAAATGAGTTGCCGCCGCCTGGATTAGCCCAGTCTCATCTCTCCGGCACAGCTAGAATTATCATAGAGAACAGACGTGTGCGTGCGCTGGGTCGTAAATTCCTGCTGCCGACATCTCAGGGGGGTTGTGGAGAGATGGAGGGCGATGACTGCACACAGACCTACATTCACCCCAGCCACACTCGGTATATGTGGAAACTCACAAATATAGCAGCGTGCACTTCAGAGACAAAAGGATCTCTCTAAAATAATAGTCGATGGCGGTCGGATTGAGATTCACGCTCTCCTGCCTATTAAAAGCAACACTTGTATTGCTGTTATACAATTCTTAACACCAATTCCATAGCTCCGTTTTCACATCTGTACACACTCTTTCCGCCAAGGAGATGCGTTTCTGCTGCAATATCCTGAAAGCCATTTTACACATCACATAGTAGGACAGCAGCATAGCACTTTCAGAGACTGGCCGGCATTTGATTTCAGCTGTATCTTCAACCTATAGATTTAGACCACCTTCAATTATCTAACTTAGCCTTCGTATAAACGGAGGAATGACAACACACTACAGAATGTATATTTGGCCTTTTGTAAATTGATAGGCTGCTAGATCTTTAATATAATAGCTGTAACAATACATGATATAGAGATGGAATGTGGCAATTAACAGCCATCACTGAGAACAGCGGTGGGTCGCCTCTTTCCACAAGGCTTTTGAAAAAAGGCTACATTCCAGCAAAATGGAAAGCCGTCTCCCGGTAAACGTGTCAGGGCAGCAACCTTGTACAGCGATTTCAGTGAAAACCGCAGAAATCCATTTGTTATGTCTGTCCAAAATGCATTAAATTAGAGCCATCTTTCCAGGTATCACGGACAAAGTGCGAGCACGTTTCTAGCAAGAGAATAAAAAGGTTAGTCTTTAACGAAAAAAAGCACCACACTGACCCTCAAACTATTTAAGATATCTGCAAACATATCTTTTTCAGTGAAAAAATTTCATTACGCTTCTAGAGGAAAGAAAACTTTAAGAAATAGGATTGATAAATATGCAGAAACTCTCAAGCTCTATAATTCTCAGACAACAATAGGGGTGGGAGTTTATAAAGCCACGTGTTTGATTTGTTATTTTGATTATAGTTATCAAGTAAAAACTGCATTGATAAAAAATATTTTAAGGTGATTTTTAAACTTGCCAAAATCATGTGTTGCTCTCGTATCTACACGGACATAAATATCCGTTTCACAGCAGAGCAAAAGGGGGTGGTGGGTGTAAAAATATGCTCACCAACAGATAGACACACACACACACGAACAGGGCCGCGTCTCGCACGGATATGAACCACATACATCTTGTCTGTCTGCAATAAAGCTGTGCTACCAATTCTATTGCCAATAAATGTCAACTGATTGGAAAGCTCATTCTAATATCAATTTCCATCTCCGCTCTTTAAAAGGCAATCAGCACGGCTTCATCTCTGTATATCATATGCTCCTTGAGATGGTGACACAGCAATGGCTCTCTCCAACATAATGGACTTCTATCAAGGCATCTGGCATCAATAATACAAGCCATGAAAGGGAGTTTTTTCCTCTATGGCTTGTGTGGCTGGATCTGGCTGGGTGAATATCAACACACTTCCTTCTCACACTTGTGTCTGCAAAAAGAGCCTTTATTTGCGTGTGTCTAGAGAGACAAGATACTGTGTCAAATATTAATGGTCATAAACAGATCCGAATGGCGCTTTGCAAAATAGCAGCGTGGCTGTTGCTTTGATATTTTCGAAATGTTCCTTGGCGAGGAAAGGCAGAAAAAAAGCCTTGACAGCATAAGAAATGAGAATAATTTCACACATTAACCTTGGCAGTCTCCTCTGACTAAATTCAGGGCTGATTTGGTACACTGATTGAATTTAAGTGGAAGGACGTCACTCATGTGCATGCAAATGTCTCTGACGGGCAGAAAGCAAATAATGACAAATTAAAGGACGCTTACAGTCAGCACTTCGCCCCTTACCTTCCACCCGCTGCCGGCTTCCCTGTAATAGGGGAAATTGTCACAGATCCACTGGTAGATCTCGCTCAGTGTCATTTTCTTCTTTGGCGAGCTGTTGATGGCGAACGTGATGAGGCTGGCGTAGCTGTACGGCGGTTTGCCGTCCTTGTGCTGCTGCACCTCTTCCTGGTCCAGTGTGGTGTTGGGGTCCAGCAGGGCGCTCTTCTTAGCCATGCCTGGCCCGTGAGTGTTCTGGGCGTCTGCTTTCTGAATGGCTGCCCGCATGGTCAGCTGCGGCAACCAGTCCATGGAGGTCAAGCTGCTCTCCAGCTCCGACGTCATGATGGCAGGTTGAGTGTCGGCGGCGAAGGAGGGGTGACGATCCGGTGCGGTGAGAATGAAGGGGCTCCCTCAGATCACTGTTTTTGTCGGCGTCACTCAAAAATGAAACCTGCGGAGAAGAGCAAGAGAGGGGATCATTATATTGCCCGACACTGTCAGTATATGAGTGATTGCTTCTGAAGCACGTCGACACTTCAATAGTTAGAACCACTCCAGCTGGAACCAATGTCATTTTAATTAGCACATTCAAACAGGCAGCGTTTCTCTTTGGAGAGAAGCTCCAGAACAGACGCTGATCTGCAGACAAACCAAAAAAAAAAACACTGAGCTGCACAGACCGGCCAAGCCGTCTGGCCCACCTCCTACCTCCGGCCTGCACCCTGCAGCTGACTCACACAACAGTAATCCGAGCCGCAAACTGAGTAAATGCTGCGGAATTGTTTTCACAACTGCCAGCCAAATGGGGGATTGGTTCACAAGAAATTCCAATTCTCCTGAGGGTAGCGTAACCCTTTCTATCTCCCTCTACCCTTCCCCCTCTCCATCTTGTCTGCGTTGTAAACAGGCCTCAGAATCGTCGTCACTGTGCAACACGGGGTCTTATTCCCGTCTGCGGCTGCACCCTACACCCACAAACAACCTTGTGTTTTAGGCACGTTGCCCTCTCCAGTTTAAAATGGCAGCTAAAGTGCGAGGCTAGTCCCGTCGCATAGGTAGACGGTCAGCCGGCATAATCCATCCACACTCTATAGAACTTATTATCGTGAAAATGACAACACGACTGGAAAAAAGGCACCAGGGGAGGGTATATCCCACATATTATTCAGACGAACCTCAGTTTAAAAATACCTCTCCGGTTCTCTCGGGAACCGAAAGAGACGCCCTCATTGAAATTCCTCTAGAATGGCGGAAAGCGAGCACGAGCCTCTGAAATCTGATAAATGAGATGTCTGTGAGGCCAGTTCTATGACAGACACTTTTTTTTCATCATTGTGTCATTTCCATAAAGGTGAGTCATGACTCATGACCCTCTAATTTAAAAGATTTTTCCCTGCATGAGTATGGGAACCTCTGATCTAGCTGTATGAAGTGCAAACTTAAAATTCTAATTTAGCATCCTCGTCGTGCACATGCAGGAAATGAGCGCCTTTGGGCGCTTGTTAATTAAATTAAATCAAATCAATGCACAGTGGACTCCTCAGTTTTTCATGCATCCAATCTGATCCTCACATAGACTGCAAAAATAAACTGCATCGACAAACTGAAACTGCTGCATGTTGCAACAAACAGGCAACCATCAAGCATCCCAAAAGCAATGCCAGGCAGACGGCAGCAAAAACATATAAAAGATAAGGCAAATAAGCATGTAAAATATATAGCCTAATCATGATTTTGGATAAGCCTGTCTGCCAAATACATAAATGTAAACGTAAGGTGTCTGAAGGTTTTCAAAGTCAAATTATCAGCATTGTAATCTAAAACTATTTTAAACAGAATTTTGATTCTTTTTTTCAGAGTTATTAAAGTGTTTGTGACCTTAACCCTCTGGTACTGTCTATGTCGGTCAAAAATGACAGATTTTTTTTATTTTTATTTCAATGAAATGATTGTACTATATTTTAGTTTGATACTATTTTTTTATTTAATATTTTGTATTTTTAGGGAATTCTATGGTCCTAAATTATATTTATGAAGTAGTTACTTATACATTTATTCACCTTTTGAGCATGGACCTGAAAATTAATTTTCAAACTTAAAAGGTCATAAACCTTTGATGCTTTGGAGCACAGACTTAAGGTCTATTTTTAAAGGTGACACCTGGCAGATTATTGCTGAAGTGTTTTAAAAAAGTGAACTTGATTTTTTTTTATTTTATAAAACTGTACATTTAATATGAAAAATGCACAAAAATACCATGTTCAATTTTAATATGAAATAGGCTATATATTTTCCAAAACACATTTTACTCTAAAACTGTAAGAAAATCAAAACCATAAATCTAAAAGAAGCTGTGTTCCAAATTTGAAGACCAAACAGCATCAGGGTGAAATTAGGCTAAATTAGGCCACTCTTTCCCCTTGTCGATTATGAACATCTATTTGAAATGTGGCAGATAAAACTGTGGGCAGAAGAGAATGAATTGCTCAGAAAAACTTTGAAATATTGATAAAAATGAAAGAATTAGATATCAAAAAGATCAGATATATAGAAAACAGCAATAAAATAACTGATGTAAAGTTCAAAACTTTCATATCAAGTTTAAACTTTAAGAGGAAGTCTAATTTTGGTCAAGATGACCAAAACACTGCTAATATACTTCAGGTGAACTTTTAAACACTTCTACTTTACAATATATATATTTAAAACAAAACAGCTGATTAAATGTTAATTTGGACTTAAATATTTGAATATTTGTGAGGCTGCTCATGCCACGTGCATAATGCACAATGTATTTTAAGGCTGTGACTTATAAACTAATACAGTACAAAACCGCTAAATGATGCATGCAGAATGAGGCTCTCTGTGCACTTAATATTCACATCGCCATCCCACAAACCACAGAAGTATCCCTGCGATGACTCTGAATGATGAAATCTGCAGATAAAGACTCGTGTCTCAAGCATCACCTACTTTGCTACAGGGCTGCTTCCATTTTGACTGCATGCACATCAATGAGAAATGCACCACACACACTCAGGAGTGCTGCTGTGTTAATTAGCACACCTCTGCAGTGCCAGGCAGTAAAATGCAGTAAGCATCTCCCCTCATTAACAGTGGCACCTGTACAGACGACTCAGTAACAGGCCCCACTCCGTAAAAGAGCATGCATTGACTGGCACGGAAAAGGGATATGGCTGGTGGCCATTACACACACATCCACAGAGTTAGGCAGTTCAGCCTACTAATGCAAGTAAACCCCTAGGAATTGATTTAAAAAAAATGTCACTGCTTTGAGAATACTTTGTTGCACCCAAAATACTATACTATTTACACCATAGGAGACATAAGAGTAAATGTTTTAGGTAAACTAAAAACAATTCCACGTGATCAGTGTAGTTCTAGTTAACTAAATAAAACTATTAAAAATCAATTCAAATAAAGCTGGACATTTATATAATAGGTGAAAACTGAAATAAACTTTTCCGTTTCTAATGATTATCAGATAGTTTAAGTACTATAAATAAATAAAGTTTAAGTACTAAATTCCAAAAACTAAAATTAAAATTAAAATAGAAAAATAAAAGCGAATGAGATATATATATATATATATATATATATATATAAAACAAACAAATATATATATATATATATATATATATATATGTATGCATGTATGTATGTATGTATGTATTTAGCCTATCTATGCATGTATGTATGTATGTATGTCTTTAAAATCATAATGCTATTAAATTAAATTATGTAAAATTATATAAATTACATATTAAATTAAATCCACAGGGTAGATTTTATCAATAAGACCATGTTGAATCAACTCACAGTGAAAATGCTAACATTCATCATGTTATTGGTTAGCATTAAGCAATGTTTGAGAAATCCCATGGTAAAATATACAAACGATCCTAAAAACGATCCTACTGTAATTCAAAGATGACATTTCCTCGTGAGTAATCTCATTCCAAAACTCAATATCATCCGATCACAGTGTTAAAAGAGAACGTTAATTGCTTTGGCATACCGTATGCTCTCTCAAATGCCGTTTCTACGACTCAAAGTGTGAACAATAAATATTTACTTTACGGAACAAACGCGAGCAAACTTGTATGCGCACATGGATGTGTGGATTAGTAAGCAGACTTGCGGTGGAGAAGGCCCCGTCGGGGGGGATGGTAACTTGGCTTCGGCAGAGGGGAATCACTCTCTGTGAGCTCCTTCCACAGCGCCTGAAGACCTGGCACACCGCTTCACAACAACAACAGTGATGTAACCTAGTAACAAGCCCTTGGCTTTTCTACTTCTACCGAAACTCTGGCCATGTCTTCCATATCAACAACATTATTACGCCGTGTAGAAAAGGCTTGTGTTGTCTTAGCGATCATGAAAGGGAAAACAGGGAGTGGTGGGAAACACACTCACCTGCCCCGGAGTAAAAAGGAGATTCCTCATTTTTTCCAATGCCCCAGGCGCTGATCTCGAGTTATTTTTGAAAACAACAACTAAAATAGCAACGGCTCATTGTTGCGCCTGAATGTTGAGTGCTGTAATTGTTCGCTGCGGCCGGCTCGAAGACTCATCTTCATTAAATGGAAAAGTAGGTAACAGCAACAGCTTTTAAATGTCAGTCTTCCCTCTCCATTAAAGGCTTAATGGTTGCATTGAAACCACCCCCAGGATGAGAACATTAATAACCCAGTCGTTACTCGCATTTTTAGGATGTGTCAATTATCGCTCCGCTGCGCACACTGCCAGCCGAGCGCATTGTTCGGCTTATTACAGCCTGCAGCAGATCAGGGCTTGTCACAATGAGACCGCCGCTCATCCTGGCATATCGGATGCCAGCGCTGATCTCAGGCCTGCCAGAGTTTCCTTTAAGGCAGCGTGCACAGACCGGGAGATCTGAGGCGTCGAAGGAGCCCTGTTCCAGTAACGAGGTCTGGCAGATACACACTGGCCGGGGTGCTGTGTCCTCAGAGTGCCAGTCTCATTGCTTTACATGAGGGCAGATTCCCACCTCCCCAGCTCAGCAGTCTACAGGGGCCGCATACATGTACTCCATAATTAATCTGCCAGTCACAGCAAAGTGCCACTCTGGCTGGAGAGAAATGGAGAACTGCGCACATCCGAGCAGCTGATAATCATAAATGTGACACAGTGATAATGGTAGGTTAACGTGAAAGCCACAGGATTTTAAAAAACATTGAGGGCCGGGAACACTAAGACAAATGGACACTGAATTCCCGCATAAGCATTTCAGCCTGATGTGCTCATATGCACAATGTCAACTGAAAAATGTCATTTGCCAAATTGTAAAATATTCACAAATAAATCAAATCAGTCATTAAAAAAAACAACAAAAAAAAACTGTACATTTCTATTTTGATCTTCTTTACATGATATATAAGACAATGTAGCATTCTCTTGCGAACTGTG